CACACACACACACACACACACACACACACACCGGAGTAGAACATTATCCACTGTAAAAGAATGAGTGCGCACCCCACCCCCACCCCACCCCAGGTGCAGCGGCGCAACTCTCGGCGTAGGTTTAAATCTTAATTTTTGCCACCTATATGCACTCTCAGATAGAACCACAAATATTTCCTCTCTTTTCTCAGTTTCGAAAGTGTTTGTAAAAATGGTTCGGAAACCTTCGAAGTATTGGCCACTTGATATGTTGTTCGAGTTTACACTCATGATTTTATTTGTTGATTTGTTAGTTCGTTGGGTTTTTTGTTTGTTTTGGGGGGGTTTTTTGGAGGGGGAATCGTTTGATTGGGGGGAGGGGAGGGTGTTTGCTTGTGTTTTGTTTTTCGTTTGTTTTGTTTTGTTTTTTCTGAACCTGTGTATGAGCGCACATCTGGGAGTGACAAAAATATTACACGCAATTATAAGAAGTGTTGTTAGAAAGGGACCCCGAAAGGTGAAGAAGTAGATAGGGTATATAACTCATGTTATTTTTTTACAGATTATTTCTTTAGCAGCAGTGATGTCCCTTGTACAATTTTCTGTTGACGCCCCAATCCCATCATCGTGCGATGTTCCTGCCAAATGAATAAGTCCTTTTAGGAACAGTTACATACTGCATATTTTTGTTTTAATTTTTATAGGTAATTCAAAACTTCAGATTTATCTCTGAGTCTATATCTCCATAAATTTAAGAATTTTAAAAAAGTGTATTTCACACAAAATTATTTTCCATGTTTTATAAGTATTCACACGTTGAACTTCCGGCTGAGTAATTATTGCCGTATTGGATTAATTTTACACTAATTTAAGACTTCAAGTTCATAAAGTAATCCTCCCCACAAACAAATGTTCATATGGTTTTACACTAAAGTTTACTTTTTGAGTTATATATTGGTCACAAAGAAGAGAAAAAAGGTTTTAATCCTTAAAGATATATTTTTTTTCAAATTAGAAAATACACGGAAGCGGTGAGAGAACCTGGCCTTTGTTTACCTTCGCTGCCCCGCCCTCATTACACTCACTAGTGATAAGATCGAGTACCGGTAGAGTCGTAAGTTACAGTGACCAACAGCCAAACCTCTCGAGCGCCTGTGGTGATAACACACTACTGGTGTTGTAATTTGTGACACGTCTTGATGCTGATGCAACTAGCGTGCTGTAAGTTCACCGATTTTCTCCTCTGCAGTTTCATTTACATCAATCAGTGCTACTTTTTTGTTGTGGCAAACTGAAGATCTAGAATCTAATGTCTACTAATCTAGATCTAGATCTAAATTCTAGATCTAGATCTAGATCTAGAATCTAGATCTAGATCTAGATCTAGATAATCTAATCTAGATCTAGATCTAGATCTAAGTCAAATTATAGTTGCTCTAGATTTCTAGATTAGAAACACTGTCACAGAAGAACAGCAATACAACAGAATAAGAAGTAGTTTAAAGTAGCAGTGGTCTAGATCTAGAATCCAGCAGTAGTCTCTTGACAGAGAGCAGTAACCTAATTAAGCTTAGTAACTTAGCAGTGAGTAGTAGCAGCAGTCTTAGCCTAGTCTCTATAGGAGGAGAACTATACTGTAATAGCAGTAGTAGTTAAGTAGTAGATCTAGCAGTATGTAGTTGGTTGAGTCAAGTGGATTTTAATAATAGATAGATAGAGTCTAGATTCTCTGGATCTGGATTCTTGATCTCAAAATACAGCCTAACTTGCAAATCCTAGTACAGTAGGCTAACAACATTTTATTTAAAATCTAGATTAAATCTTCAAGTAAAATGTCAGCTGCAGGGTGTACTGTACTTTATACTAACTTAAATAAATACTGTTTTCTAATTTAAGTCTAATGTTTCTAAATTCTGCAATACAGTGGAATCCTGTTATAACGAGAGGGAGGGGACCGGTGCAAAATGTCCGTTTATAGCAGGATTCTCGTTATAAGGGATCCAGTAATAAATTCAAGGGAAATAGTAAAATAGGCCTAATCTATGAGTTTGGTGTTCTGTGTATTCCTTTTTGTATTTCCCCTGATAATGATTTTTTTCAACATG